AATCCTCAGTGGGACAGTAAGCAGAACCTAGGCACTTGGGTCCTCCTGTCATGCCTGGCCTTGGAATGCCATTACAATGAGAAAAAGAAGCCTCTGATACAAAGCCCAATGGTTAATTACTGTCATCCTGAAAAACTACTTGCTGCCTAAACTGGATGTGCCTGGAACAGTATCTAGTAGATCATCTGTGAACACGGTCATGGGATCTGGTAGATGAACCCTGCATCTCCCTAAGCCCTACTGCATTGGCATGACTGACCCTGAACCCAGCTCTCCACCTCCCCTTGAGTTCTTCATACCTTTCAAAATTGTTCTTATCAACCAGAGGGCAGCCAGGAAGAAAGCACATCACCAGGACTGTTTCCTAATGGAAGACAAACAGAGCAAGCAGATTCAGGAAGGGCTCCTCTGCTAATCAAGTAGGGTGAAGGCTGGTGAGGAATGTCCCCAGGAAGTGCCAGCTGCTGCTTGTCTTTGTTGGCAACTGTTCCTGGCACACACAGATTGCTCTGAGGACAGATTTGACTTGGCTGCTCAGAGACAATGCTGTGTAACAAAGACAGCAGCCAGATGGCCCTTAGGAAGTGACATTTGATACTTGATTCTTCAGAGATTAGGTCTACTGATACTGACATGAGAGCAAAGCTGTACCTATGGGGTCTAAGGAGCCCATCCTACTGAGGGAATAGACGTTTCAGAGGAGGTACAGGCCCCAAAAGGCCAGGTAGTCATGTTACACAATCACACTTGTAGAGCTAATTGCCTAATCTTAAGCCATGCCAACTTCAGATAGTTTTGAATGGAGAGAGTCTGGCCTCAAACTTCTGGCAAACCCTCCTGCTTTTCCTCCTCAAGTTTAGGTCTAACTGTACTGTTTCTTCACTGACAGCTTATGAAGAGAAGCAAACAAGAAAAGTGCCAATAACTTCCTCCAGCAAAGAAAAAAAAAAAAAACAAGTCTAGCTTGTTTCCAGCTCTATAAAACAAAATGTAAATTCACAAGTAAACAGGGGTCTGGGGACAATAACCAGCATTGGCAGCGGGAGGACCTGAGGTCATCTGGCTCTCCATCTTAATGTCAGCCTGGCAGGGGACATGGTTACAGAGAGTTACAGAAAATGTGTGGCTGAGGGGGCTCTGTGGCAAAAAGGGCTGGCATCTGAGGAATGTCCCAGCATGCCACACTGAGATGGGAAGGGAAAGCTGACTGGGCACAATTGCATGCACATGCATACCACACACACACACATACACACACACGCACACAAAATAACATTTTTTAAAAGAAAATATTCATAATATCTATGGAGATATACGTACACACATGCGTGAAAGTGATACCTGTTTGTGGAGCAGAGTAATAAACTCTAAGACCAGCAGCTCTGTTCTGGAGGTGGCCATTCGTCTTTATCTACTGCAGTCAAGCCTACTGGGAGTATAATGTGTCCCATCCAGTAGCCATGATAACTCCCCAATACCCCGAAAACAACAGTGTGCCTTATCCAGTCGCCATGATAGCTCCCTGAGATACACACACACACTGACATCAGCAGGTACTCAGTATATCTTCAACTATTTGTGCAGTCAAAGGGATACCACAGGCAGCCCAGCCATGTACATAGGTGCAACAGGCTACAAACTACCTACAATGACCTTTAGCAGCTCGTCCAATTATTACCACAGCCTTGATTCAGCCTGCAGAGTACTTGGATATGGTCTTTTCTACTTGCTGTTTATGCCCTGTTCAATGGAGCCACAACCTACATTCCCCTGATGGGCCTCATACCAGTATCTTGGGCATTCAATACATCACCAGTTAAAGAAATGAGCAGGTAGAGCCCATGACACCAAACACACACACACACACACACACACACACACACACACACACACACAGAAAGCTGCATCCTGCCAAGACACTGAGGCCTTTCTTTAAGTGCTCAGCTGGAGTCCCTAGGTGAGGCAGCAACTGCAGCCAAGATGCAGGAGCACAGACAGGGTAGACCTCAGGGCTGTGAGGGGAAGGCAGAATTGGGGTGGCGCTCAGTTGGCAGGCTTGTACAGCTTTGCAGTAGTACCACCAAAGAGCCAGTATACTGAGGGTGGCATTTCTGGGAGCCCCTCTCCTCACAGAATCCACACACTGTATAGCCACCCCTGCCTTACCAGCTGTGTCCCTTCATACTGTGCCCTGTCCCTGGGAGGTTCTTTTATTCTCTTCACAGCTAGAATACTGAAACATCACAGGAGCTAAAACACAGATGGAATGATGATTCCTAAGATCAGTGGCTGATGGCTTCCCAGCAAGCTGTTAGTGGCCTTCATTGGAGTCTACCTCACTGTGGTAGGACATATTTACTGTCAACCATGAGTGACTCCAGGACCCCAAGCTATCTTTAAACGCCTGAGCTTTAAGCCTAAAATAACAAGTGAAAATGTTAATCTAGGACCTGGTTCTTTGAGAAAATCAATAAGATAGATAAACCCTTAGTCAAATGAACTAGAGGGCACAGAGACAGTACCCAAATTAACAAAATCATGGAAAGAGGGAGACATAACAACACAAAACTGAGGAAACAAACAAAAAAAATAAGATCCTACTACAAAAGTCTATATACAACAAAACTGGAAAAATCTAGATGAAATGGATGATTTTTCTAGACAGATACCAGGTACCAAAGTTAAACCAGGATCAGATAATATGTATAAACAGTCCCATAACCTTTCAGGAAATAGAAGCAATCATTAAAAGTCTTCCAATCAAAAATAGCCCAGGGCCAGATAGTTTTAGTGCAGAATTCTATCAGACCTTCAAAGAAGACCTAATACCAATACTTCTCAAACTATCCCACAAAATAGAAACAGAAGGAACACTACCCAATTTTTCCTATAAAGCCACACAGAAAACTAAACCACAAAATGAGCCAACAAAGAACTTCAGACCAATTTCCCTAATGAATATCAATGCAAAATAACTCAATGAAATTCCGTAAACAGAATCCAAGAACAAATCAAAACAATCATTAGTCATGAATAAGTAGGCTTTATCACAGGAATGCAGAGATGGTTCAATATATGGAAATCTGTGGGACCATGAAAGGATGGCTTGGTTTTTGGTAGAAGCACTGGCTGGAAATAGCCCAGAGATCCAACAAGTGTTCATGCCTGTGAGGGACAGGCATCTATTCCTCCATGCTCCCAGAACCCAGGGCCCTGACATGTGGTGTAGATCTCCATTTGATCTGTGCTGTTCAGTCACTTAGGGAAATGCTCCTACCAGCCCCTCCACAGGTAGAGGGTGTGACTACAGGCCTCAGCCTCAAGATATTTCCATATTAATGAGTTACCTAAAGGACAGAGGGTGTAGCCAATTATGTATTCTTTTCCCAGACCCTCCTCTCTCTTCCCTCCCTATTTAAATCAGGTCCGCCCTGACCTAAGTTGGGGGTGCATCCAGATTCAACTATCATCCACTATGAAAATAAAGCCTGAAAAACCTACGAACTTCCACACGTCTTTCGGGGGCCACAGTGGGAGAACGGCAGAGAAAGTCTCAACTACCAAGCTATAGACACCATGGAGAGCTTCTCTGTGTCCTGCTGCAGAGGCCCACCTCTTCAAGCAAGCTAGACAAGCAGCTGAGCAAAGCAAGCAGCTGAGCAAAGCGTGTACTCTCCACAGGGCACACTCAGGGCTTCCCTCTCCCTCCCTAGTTTCTCTCGGCTGTGGGCCAATCGTATGCCCACATGCTCACAGTCTTTGTTCGTCCATGGCACCAGCCTCTGGGTCCACTCGAGAGCCCTGCCCCCCCACATCCCCTGCAGAACAGCAGACTGAGTGAGATCTCCCCCTGCCGGGTGGGGCCCTGTAACACCTGCCCGGTGCCATGTGCGGAGTGAATTCAGTTGAGATTCCCACGCTCCAGTCTCTTTGGAACTGTGGGAATCACAACCGCCCAACAAGATTCAAGAACCCACGCCCACGCACGGGCCACCATTTCCCCGAAGAAATCCATCAATGTAATCCACTATGTAAACAAACTCAAAGGAAAAAACACATGATCATCACATTAGATGCTGAAAAAGCCTTTGACAAAAATACAACACTCCTTCATGTTAAAGGTATTGGACATCTGCACTAGTGCCCTGAGCACACCTTGGGCACCAGCTGTGTACCCAATCCCACAACACTCAAAGGAGGCTGGATTCCCAGTAGCTCTAACATACCCAGGATCATAGGTGAGGATGCCACAACATCAGCCCCACCCAAGAGTTACTGGGACCCCTGGGGACCCAAGAATGCAGAAACCCTTGACTAGTCAGTGACATGGGTTCCTTCCAGTCTGCTCCAGGGCCCTGAGCAGACCAGCTCTGCACCCAACCCCACAACACCCAGAGGAAACTACACTCCCAGGGGCTCTAACGTGCCGAGGATCGTAGCTCTGCACACAGTTCCACAACAGCCAGAGGAAGATGGACTCCCAGGGGCTCTACCATGCCCAGGAACATAGAAACATAGGATCATAGGATTTCAGGAGCTTGGTCACACCAGGATTTCAGAATCCCAGAGGCAGCCTGACTTGCAGGAGCTCTTATACTCACGATCTCAGGATCACAGGATCACAGAGACAGTCGGACTCTGAGCAGTTCTGAAACAACCAAAATAACAGGAGAGACAGGCTCTAGTCAGAGATAGTGAGTGCAGGTAGCACTAGAGATGCCCAGATGACGAAAGGCAAGCGAAAGAACAGAAGTGACAGAAACCAAGTTTACTTGGCATCATGGGAACCCAGTTCTCCCACCATAGCAAGTCCTGGACACCCCATCGCACCAGAAAAGCAAGACTCTTACTTAAAATCACTTCTTAAAATGATGATAGAAGACTTTTAAAAGGACATAAATAACCATCTTAAAGAAATACAGGAGAACGGCTACTGCTTCCGGGGCAGCTCCCTGCCAGCCGGGATTGCGGTGCTTGGCTTTCTCGGTTCCTGTGGAGCTATGCTTGCGCCGGCAATGAGCTTCCTCAAAAGCTTCCCGCCGCCTGGGTCAGCAGCCGGACTCCGGCTGCAGCAGCCGGACACCGAGGCTGTGCTGAACGGGAAGGGGGTCGGCACCGGCACTCTTTATATTGCGGAGAGCCGCCTGTCTTGGTTAGATGGTTCTGGATTAGGATTCTCACTGGAATACCCCACCATTAGTTTACATGCGGGGTCCAGGGACCCAAATGCTTATCCTCAAGAGCATTTGTATGTTATGGTGAATGCCAAATTTGGAGAAGAATCAAAAGAACCTCTCTCTGATGAAGATGAGGAAGACAATGATGATGTTGAACCCATTTCTGAATTTAGATTTGTGCCCAGTGATAAGTCAGCATTGGAGTCGATGTTCACAGCAATGTGTGAATGCCAGGCCTTGCATCCAGACCCTGAGGATGAAGACTCAGTTGACTATGATGGAGAAGAGTATGATGTGGAAGCACATGAACAAGGACAGGGGGACATCCCTACATTTTATACCTATGAAGAAGGACTATCCCATTTAACGGCCGAAGGGCAAGCCACGTTGGAGAGATTAGAAGGAATGCTTTCTCAGTCTGTGAGTAGCCAATATAATATGGCAGGTGTCCGAACAGAAGATTCAGTAAGAAATTATGAAGATGGCATGGAGGTAGAAACTACACCAACTGTTGCCGGACAATTTGAAGGTGCAGATGTTGAACACTGAAGATGATTTTTGCTACTATACAATTCTGCTCATAACTGTAGGCAAGAACATGGTGCCTCTTCACTCCAGAAGGGCTGGTGAAAGGCTTTTTTCTTCTCCAAAACTCATTTCTCAAGATAAACTATAATGAGACAGCAAGCTGACACCAGGAGAAGAGTCTATGACCTCTATTAACAAAGGTGAACTAACTGAACGGGTATTTGTAGTTTCTCATTTACCCCCAAACAAACTTCCTGTGTCTAGTTATCTTCTGAGAAGGCCTCTAACTCCTGCCTTTGCTGTGTGCAGTCTGTCAGCTGCAAGGCCTATGTGGTAAATGCACAGAGCTCACACTGGGTGAGAGAAGGCCAGGTGCTGAAGCTTGGATGTTGCTGGGACTTAGGGGAACTCTCTTATCTCCAAGATAAAAAGCAAAGGCCTCAGAGGGAGCAGCCCTTAGCATGTTCCACAGAGGCATTAGTCCTCTACTTGGGGCTCAGCCACATCTCGCCATGACACAATACTTGTGTGCTAGCTTCTGTCCCTCCTCAGTTACCATCAGCTCTGTTATGTTCTCCCAGGTTAGGTCCTTGACTGTCCACCCTCTTAACGTTAGCTTTCTGTCACAGAATAAATCATCTGAAATGAAGTCTGCAAAGTACTCTTAATGATATTTTGTCTTTGTAATAGTTAACAAATAAATATGGGTTTTCTATAAAAAAAAAAGAAAGAAAGAAATACAGGAGAACACGGGTAAACAGGTAGAAGCTCTTAAAGAGGAAACACATAAATCCCTTAAAGAATTGCAAGAAAAGACAATCAAACAGGTGAAGGATTTAAACAAAACCATCCAGGATCTAAAAAATAGAAGTAGAAACAATAAATAAATCACAAAGGGAGACTACCCTGGAGATAGAAAACCTAGGAAATAAATTGGGAGTCATAGATGCAATCATCACTAACAGAATACAAGAGATAGAAGAGAGGATCTCAGATGTAGAAGATACCATAGAAAACATTTACACAACTGTCAAAGAAAATGCAAAATGCAAAAAGCTCCTAACCCAAAACATCCAGGAAATCCAGGACACAATGAGAAGACCAAACTTAAGGATAATAGGTATAGGTGAGAGTGAAGATTCCCAACTTAAAGGGCCTCTTCAACAAAATTATAGAAGAAAACTTCCCTAACCTAAAGAAAGAGATGCCCATAAATATACAAGAAGCCTAAAGAACTCCAAATAGACTAGACCACAAAAGAAATTCCTCCCATCACATAATAATCAAAATACCAAATGCACAAAACAAAGAAAAAAATACTAAAAGCAGTAGGGAAAAGAAAGGTAAAGTAACATATAAAGGCAGACCTATAAGAATTACACCAGACTTCTCACCAGAGACTATAAAAATCAGAAGATCCTGGACAGATGTCATACAGACCCTAAGAGAACAAAAATGCCAGCCCAGGCTACTATACCCAGCAAAACTCTCAACTGCCATAGATGGAGAAACCAAGATATTCCATGACAAAACCAAATTTACACAATATCTTTCCACAAACCAGCCCTACAAAGGATAATAGAGGGAAAACTGCAACACAGAGAGGAAAATTACACCTTAGAAAAAGCAAGAAAGTGATCTTCCAACAACCCCAAAAGAAGATAGCTCCACAAACCTCTAATAACAAAAACAACAGAAAGCAACAATCATTTTTCCTTAATATCTTTTAACATCAATGGACTCAATTCCACAATAAAAAGACATAGACTAATAGACTGGATATGTAAACAGGACCCAGCATTTTGCTGCATACAGGAAAGGCACCTCAGTGACAAAGACAGACACTACCTCAAAGTAAAAGGATGGAAAACAATTTTCCAAGCAAAAGGTCCCAAGAAACAAGCTGGAGTAGTCATTCTAATATCAAATAAAATCGACTTTCAACCAAAAGTAATCAAAAAAGATAAGGAAGGACACTTCATACTTATCAAAGGAAAAAACTACCAAGATGAACTCTCAATTCTGAACATCTATGTTCCAAATGCAAAGGAACAAAATGCAAAGTTTCATAAAAGAAACTTTGTTAAAACTTAAAGCACACATTGCACATCACACAATAATTGTGGGAGACTTCAACACCAGACTCTCAGCATTGGATAGATCATGGAAACAGAGACACAGTGAAACTAAGAGAAGTTATGAACCAAATGAATTTAACTGATATGTATAAAACATTTCATCCTAAAACAAAAGAAAACACCTTTTTCTCAGCACCACATGTTACCTTCTCCAAAATTGACCATACAATTGGTCACAAAACAGGCCTCAACAGATACAAGAAGAGTCAAATAACCCCATGCATCCTATCAGATCACCACGGACTAAGGCTGGTCTTCAATAATGAGAAAATCAATGGAAAGCCCACATACATTCGGAAACTGAACAATGCTCTACTCAATGATAACTTGGTCCGGGAAGAAACAAAGAAAGAAATTAAAGACTTTTTAGAATTAATGAAAAGGAAGGCACATCATACCAAAACTTGTGGCACACAATGAAAGCAGTGCTAAGAGGAAAACTCATAGCTCTAAGTGTCTACAAAAAGAAACTGGAGAGAACATACACTAGCATCTTGACAGCACACCTGACATCTCTAGAACAAAAGAAAGTAAATACACCCAAGAGGAGTAGATGGCAGGAAATAATAACACTGGGGTCTGAAATCAACCAAGTAGAAACAAAAAGAACTAAACAAAGAATCAACAAAACCAGGAGCCGGTTCTTTGAGAAAATCAACAAGATAGATAAACCCTTAGCCAGACTAACCAGAGTGCACAGAGACAGTATCCAAATTAATAAAATCAGAACTGAAAAGGAAGAGATGACAATAGAAACTCAGGAAATTAAAAAAGAAAAAAAAAACATCAGATCCTACTACAAAAGCCTACACTCAACAAAACTGAAAGTCTGGATGAAATGGACAATTTTCTAGACAGATACCAGGCACCAATGTTAAATCAGGATCAGATAAACCATCTAAACAGTCCAATAACCCCTAAGGAAATAACAGTCATTAAAATTCTCCCCATCAAAAAAAGCCTAGGGCCAAATGGTTTTAGTGCAGAATTCCAGCAGACCTTCAAAGAAGACCTAATACCAATTCTCTTCAAATTATTCCACAAAATAGAAACAGAAGGAACACTACCGATTTCCTTCTATGAAGCCACAATTATGCTCATACCTAAACCTCACAAAGACACAAGAAAGAAAGAGAACTTCAGACCAATCTCCCTTATGAATATCGATGCAAAAATACTCAATAAAAATTTGAAAACTGAATCCAAGAACACATCAAAACAATCACCCATCATGATCAAGTAGGCTTTATTCCAGGAATGCAGGGAAGGTTCAGTATATGAAAATCCTTCAATGTAACGTACTATACATAAACAAACTCAAAGAAAAAAGCTACATGATCATCTCACTAGATGCTGAGAAAGCATTTGACAAAATTCAACATCCCTTCATGGTAAAAGTCTTGGAAAGATCAGGAATTAAGGGCCCAAACCTAAACATTGTAAAAGCAACAGCAAGCCAGTAGCCACCATCAAATGAAATGGAGAGAAACTTGAAGCAATCCCACTAAAATCAGGTACTAGACAAGGCTGCCCACTCTCTCCTTACCTACTAAACATAGTACTGGAAGTCCTAGCCAGGGAAATTAAACAACAAAAGGAGGTCAAAGGGATACAAATAGGGAAGGAAGAAGTCAAAATTTCACTATTTTCAGATGATATGATAATATACTTAAGTGACCCCAAAACATCTACCAGAGAACTCCTAAAACTGATAAGCAACTTCAACAAAGTGGCTGGATATAAAATTAACTCAAATCAGGAGCCTTCCTCTACTCAAAGGATAAACAGGCTAAGAAAGAAATTAGAGAAATGACACCCTTCACAATAATCACAAATAATATGAAAGACCTTGGTATGAATCTAACCAAGCAAGTGAAAGATGTATATGACAAGAACTTCAAGTCTCCGAAGAAAGAAATCGAAGAAGATCTCAGAAGATGGAAAGATCTCCCATGTTCATGGATTGGCAGGATTAATATAGTAAAAATGACCACCTTGCTAAAAGCAATCTACAGATTCAATGCAATACCCATCAAAATTCCAACTCAATTCTTCACAGAGTTAGAAAGAGCAATTTGCAAATTCATCTGGAATATTTAAAAAAAAAACAGGAGTGTACAATTTATTCTCAACAGTTTGAGAACTTCTGGGGGAATCAAGCTGTACTATAGAGCAATAGTGATAAAAAAAAAACACATTGTATTTGTACAGAGACAGGCAGGAAGATCAATGGAATAGAATTGAAGACCCAGAAATGAACCCACTTGATCTTTGACAAAGGAACTAAAACCGTCGAGTGGGAAAAAAGACAGAATTTTCAACAAGTGGTGCTGGTTCAACTGGAGGTCAGCATGTAGAAGAATGCAAATCATCCATTCTTATCTTCTTGTACAAAGCTCAAGTCAAAGTGGATCAAGGACCTTCACATAAAACCAGATACACTGAAACTAATAGAAGAGAAAGTGGGGAAGATCCTCAAATACATGGGCACAGGGGAAATTTTTCTAAACAGAACATCAATGGCTTATGCTTTAAGATCAACAGTCGACACATGGGACCTCATAAAATTGCAAAGCTTCTGTAAGGCAGAGGTCATTGTCAATTGGACAAAATGACAACCCACAGATTGGAAAAAGATATTTACCAACCCTACATCTGATAGAGGGCTAATTACCAAAATATACAAAGAACTCAAGAAGTTAGACTCCAGAGAACCAAATAACCCTATTAAAAATGGGGTACAGAGCTAAACAGAGTATTCTCAACTAAGGAATCTTGAATGTCTTAGAAGCACTTAAAGAAATGTTCAACATCCTTAGTCATCAGGGAAATGCAAATCAAAATGACCCTGAGATTCCACCTCACACAAATCAGAATGGCTAA